CCCCCGAGACTCCCCCCGACTCCCCACGGCTCCTCCTCCCCCGCCCTGGGCCCACCTGCCACGGTGCCTTTCCAGCACACGGGGCACAGCCTGCCTGGACCGCAGTGCCCCCTCCCTGCCGACCCCTCACCTCCCCGCGAACCTAAGTGGGGTGGCCTGGGCTGGGGCTTCCCGAGAGCACAGACCCAGGACGGCCTCCTCCGTGCCTGACGGGCGGCTCTCAGGCAGCAGCCGGTCCAGCGGACGGATAGGAGAGGACGCTCTCCCCGTCCCGGCCACGCGTTCCCCGAGTGAGACTACACGACAAAGCAATTCCCTTAAGACAGAGAAGTGGCAGTCACGGTCAGGACTGTTCTGCGTAGCTCTCAGCCGAGAAAAAATTCAGGGCTATGAACAAGGCACCGTTTACAGAATCCCACCTTTCTAGAAAACATATTTTATGAATGGCATTTGAATGTACAAATGGGAAAAGAATAAATACTTCATCACCTGACCCCACGCCGCCGTGACACCGCAGGACCCTGCCGAGCGTTCAGGTGGGTTTTCGGAGCTCGGGAAGAAGCCCCAGAAGCCCCGGGGCTTTGGACCCCGGCCTGGGTGGGTCACCCGGGGCTCCCGGCCAGAGGGGATGCGGTGGTGGCCACACTGACGGCCTAGAAAGGGTTTCTGTGCAGCGTGACCCCAAGGCCCTTCTGAGGCCACAGCGATGGTGCCCCTCGTCCCCGGGCCCACCGCGCCCACCACGAGGCTGTGCCAGGGGCGTCCGCCCTCACACGCTCACAGGCGGCCAGGGCTCCTCTCTGCAAGAACCCGACAAACCGCTGGAGACTTCCAAGGAACCTTCCAGCACTCTGAGCGGGGGACAACAGGCCTCAGACCTGGTCCGCAAGGCCGCGGTTCACTTCCCGCCAACCCGTGGGTGGCTTCAGGTGGGCGAGAGGGCAGAAAAAACAGGACCAGCAGGCCGACGCCACGCCAGGTCCAAAGGCACGGCCACCCCGGCCCCCGGGACGGGAGCTGCCCGCACGCCACATCTGTACCACTCGCTGCCGGATGTCCCTCCAGACCCAGGAAACGAGGCCCGGCACCTTCTCCCGTCACGAGAGCCTTGCTGGCAGGCGGAGACCCGGTTTCTTGCCCGACCAAAGCCCCCGGCCACGGGCGGCCGACGGCGGGAAGAAACACCGAGCACAGACACACGCCGTGGCTCACGTGGCTGCGGGCTGTGTCTGTGACCCTGAAGAGGGCTTATCTGGTAGCCTGGCCGGTCGGACAGGGGCAGGAGCCACCCGAGGGAACTCGCGTGGTCAGAGAAAGCCCGAGAGTTCGCGTGTAAGGCGAGTCCAGGAGGTGGGGTCCACGGGGTGCCGGCTCAGTAGGCAACCTTCCAGTGCGTGGGCTGCTCGCACGCCTCCTCCAGGTCCCCACAGAACCGGTTGTATGTCGTCCGGGGGTCGAGCCCTAGAATCTCTCTCTCCTCGTGGATCCGGAAAGAAAACGTGGAGACCGAGGTCCCGATGAAGAACCTGCGAACCAGAGATCACGAGAGCCGCATGAGCGAGCTCACCCCCCCCAGCCCTGCCCGGCCTCGTGAGTCACCGTTGCCCAGGGGCCACAGGCCTGGCTGGGGCGGGGCTGGGGTGGGGGGTGCTGCCGAGAGGCCCCAGGTCCTGCACGGGCGCCGACTCGAGTCCCCTGCAGGATTCTGGCTGCTTGAGGTGGGGGCTCAGAGCTGGGCTTGGACCTCTGAGGGCAGAGAGGCGTCCCCATGCCATCTGCTCAGCACGGGGGAGGCCCCGGCCCGCAGCCCGGCAGGCACAGTTGGGACCAACCGGGGCATACGCCAAGTGGCTCCGAGGGTCCTGCGGACGGAAACTAAGCTCCTCTCGGTTTCCCACCCCCCGCGGAGCGTGTGCGTCCCAGCCCTGCTCTTCCCCGGGGGCAGGCCTGCCTCTCGGGCAGTGACACAGAGCCCGCCCTCCCTTTCCGGAGGCCCTGTGTGTGCTCCTCGGTGACACGTGTGATCGAGGGGGTCACCGAGTCCAGGGGAGCAGGACCTCGAGGTGAAGGGACGCACAGGAGGGTCCAGGACAGGGCGCCGCGACGGGACCGGGGAGGAAGCCGGCGGGCGAGGACCGGACGGGGAGCACGACCCTCCGCGCGGGGCCGGGGAACGGGGGGGGGCCGCCCGCCAGA